CAGCCCTAATAATAATAATAATAATAACAATAGCATTAATAATAATATACTATTTCCTAACTATTCATTTTTATATGGAGCATTTTAATTTCAAATAATAATTTTAACGGAGTGTTTTTTGAGTAAGTGTTTGCTTTTCCATTTCAAACCCTGTCATGATCCTTGTCTTGCTTTTATCTATTTTGGGTCTGTTGCCGAAATATCGGCAGCTTCTTTTGTCTTTTCTGCATTTTTGCTGGTTGCTGGTTTGAAATTCAATGCTATTTTAAAAGTTATTAATGAAATTTATATTTGCCAAGTTTGGCATTGGTGCAACAGTTTGCGTAACAGCTTACATCGTAGCCTAAACTTATTGGAACTTTAAATCTGATTTTGGAACATTTGAGGAACATGATAGACACTTATCGTGACATAAGAAACCTAAAAAGTACGTCTTTAACACTTAAGAATCTGATGTCATTTAAAATGTATCAACAAAATTATGGTGTTTCGAATTTAAGAATTTTATAATGGATTTTCAACGTGTACATAGTGTAAATAAAAAGTTGAAATCGACTGTGGTCTGAAATTAGTATGCGCGTAAGAAATGATGCATTTGAGATTTCGCTATCCTCATAAAATGCAAAGGACACTTTCTTGGGTGAGGTTTACTAAATGTGATTGGGGGATACCTCACACACTTACGATTATCTTTTACACACACGCATATACTTTATCAAGTAGTAAAAATGCATAATAGAACACGCACAAACCGTCAACATCTAGATATCCTAAAGCACCTTTATGTTACCATAACCGTGTGATAAATCTAATGTATTGTACTCTGTATCTAATGCACATCTAATAAAACTGTATTTTAAATGCGTGCACAAAACCAAAAGCTCACCGTTATGAATAAAGGCTTTGCAAAATGCGTGCACCAAAAATAACTTAACGTCAACCTCTGTAATTATATTATTTTAAAACTTTGCCCTCTATATTTTACGATAAAAAATTACATGTTTTGAGATAAGGGATTATGACCAGACTTTCCTTGAACAATCTATAGGTCAGGAGGAAAGAGCTTGTCCAATTTGGTTGTGGTCCAAGATATCAGTGTTTAAGTAATTACAATTTCATTAGCATAAGTTAGTTTCATAGCTAATAATGAGGTCATCAATCTTAATTTCTATATACTATGCATATTTTGAAATGTTACAGTTGTTATATCTCTACCGATTAAAAGAAAATGTATAGCGTACCTTTCTCCTTCACTTTAGGACATATGATGTTGTAGCGAATTTTATTTAACCGGATTAGGTGATGGCAGTATTTCTTTGAGACAATTTCATCCTGGTTTTTTTTTTTTGGTAGGGGGGCCTTTCAGATTTTGGGGGGGGGGGGACGGCGCAGTGCCAGTGCACAGAGTCGTAGCTAAGGGGTCATAAGTGGCATTTGTCTCCAGGCGTCAGACTATCGGGGGCGTGAAATGGGCTTTACGGTATTTAATGGATGAAGATAATTGGTTTCAAAATTAGAGAATGTGGGTAAAAATGAATATGTCCCCCTGGCAATAAACACTCTAACTAAGCAGTGCCAGTGACGTATAAAGGTTGGTTGATAGGAGGTATGACCAGGTGTCATTTTTGCTTTATTTTGATGGGCGGCATTTTAGGACAGAGTGGAACATACCTTAGCCCACCTATGGTTATTCTACCACTGAGCAGGTCACTCGGCAGTGTATATAGGCGATCAGGCCAGCAATACTTTCATTTTAACGTGATGTAGGATAGACATGTTGGGCACAAATGACTTTTCCTTACCAGAAAATGTGTGATTATATAATCATCAATAGATTCATTTGGCAGTGTACATGATTTGAAATGTTACATTAAGAAATGGCGTCAGTGGGCCGCCGAGCTTGCGCTCTTCATGCCCTCCCCAAAACACCCCTCCCCAACCCGGTATCGGGCCGCGGAGCGGCACGTCGGGGATGTCCCTTTGTCAGGACGGCCCCACCCGAGTCTGATCGACCAGGATCTCCGCCGGGGGCCGTCCTAACCCAAAGACACCCGGTCGGTCCGACACTGTGTTTGCACACAGTGCACACGATCGACTTTCTCAGGAGTCGGGATGGAAAAATGTACGTCCTAATATTTTCCCCCATCCATCCAGGGGAAGCGTTAGACGCCCTATAAGAGGGATTCTACAGTGGGTTTCCACAATGCAACTAATTCGCCATGTACCTGGGACGAAACGGTTGCCTTGGAGCAGCTTGTCAGGGCGGCATGGTAAGAATCATCGGCCAGAGGTTATCACCTTCGCCTCTCGCCTCGTATCCATTAACGGCAACTTGTAATCATGAACCCTACCCTGTCTCTGCCTTTCTTCCAGTTGGCAAGTATCGCAACTGGCAGCCCTGTAGGTGCTATTTTATTTGTGGCAGGTACCGAACACATCCCTTGTCTGCCCACGCAGGACGTGCCCAGTAGTTGTGTTCCCCGGGTAACGTCGAAGGGGTCGGTAGCCGACGACTCGTAATCGACAAGCCACCACAGACTTATCAACCGGAGAACCGGGGAGTATACATGATTTAAAAGTTTCGATTAAACTATTTGATCAGGGGAAATTATTTTCAAGTGTCGGGGGTGGCATCATGGTGCCCAGTGCCATACATAAACTAAATTCATTGTGGTGCGCCCCAAGATAATCATTTGTAACACTCTTATATTCAACCCAGTAATATTACATTCACTGACACAGAAATTGAGGATGCCAAAGAGTCTCAAGCAAAATCAGGAGCAGGGGTCACCTACATTTAAAAAGAAATCAAAGAGCAAGGATACATTTTGGTGCATATTTGAATTCAGTGTTTCTTTCATGGGCATTTTCAGACTTTCGGATGGAAAGCGCTAAAAATTGCCAAAATGGCCGGAACATCCCTAATTCTTCCTCCATTCCGATATTAACCCAATTCATCTCAGTAAAGGGTATATTTTTTTGTCGATGGATACTGCCTAGCTTAGCTTCGACCCTTCAATCTTTGTAGTTCCTGGAAACTTTTTGAATAAAATCAAAACGCAAGAATGCCTTTTAGCAAAGAATTAATTTTAATTTTTCATCTTTTTACAACGGAGCATAACGGGAGAGAGAGCTCGTGTCACCTGACCTCAGAGCCATCGTGTAATCCCTGCATCAATACCGCTGCCGGGGCCCCGGATATCTTATAGAGGCTTAAAGTTGAGATTGGAAAACTTTTAATGATCAATAAATGTGAATGCTAGGTGGGGGGAAGGACAATTCCAAAAGTTGACCAGGTGTGTTAAAAAATATTACTTTTATATTACTGAATATTAATGTGTTTCTTAAATTTTATTTCAACTATTCCTGTGGTAAACTACTTAATATATTATAAATGAACTCATTTTAAAACAATATTTCAAATACCTTTTCCATAACTGTTACATACATCTATAATGTAGGGAGGGAATTTAATCTTTGATTTTATTCTATGGCTCATGTCAAACAATACAAGACAAAAGGCGATACCATTATTTAAAAACAGTAACAAAGAACAATTCCTAAAACTAAGGCTAATTACAATCTTGTTTTAATTATTTAAATTAAAATTAAAATTACAAAATAAAAAAGAATAAAACTAAGGTTATTGACTTACGGCACATCATGGACTTGTACCGGTACAATGTTGAAGAAGGAACATACACGCGCATTAAACATTAATAAACACATCTTTGTCTTGTATCGTAGTAGAAAATCTCTACCAGACCATCTCTCTCGCGCTTCTACGTCGCTAGGTGTATTTATAGTCTTTTTTCATTGACTTTTCCAGAAATGGATTCTGTATAACATCGTGCCTCGACTCGTCAAGTATATTGTAAAGATTTCTAATATTTTTGTAATCAGGGTCAAGGAAGACAATATGTAATGAAGCCATACCCCGTCACGTTTGCCAAACTTGGGGTCACCCAGATTTCATGCACGAGTTTCGCAATGTAAACAAGACGCTGATATAACAATGGCAAAAAGCATTGTTATCATAATTTTACATGTTGAACGAAAAAAAAGACGTCCGTATTTTTCTAAATATTCCAAGCTTTACCAGCTTTACCAGAGTCAAAAAATAAAATGATAAATTATGATATACATGTATACATACAAAGCAATAAAAAAAAAGTTAAAATCTTAAATCTTAAATTCAATATTTATGATACATTAATTATTGTACTTGCTTTATTCTTTTGATAGTACAGATGTGTCGGTTTTAGACAACTTAACGTTCGTCATTATATAACAATTACTTCTCACCAAAGTTCTTCAACATTGTCATCTAAAGACACAGAAGTTTTTAATTCATCTCTATTTCTTTGCTGTTTCTTCTTTTGTCTGCGAAAAAAGTGATTTTAGACGAAACTTTATGTAACTCTTTTTGGTCCTGTTCTTTCATTTTAAACTCCACCAATTCCTACCAGGGTTAATCAGGGAAAATTGAAGCACTTACTAGAGGATGACCCACTTTTCCATTATAGGTTCATACCCATTACTATAACATTGAGACTATAATCATTATTAAACCCATAATTAAACAGTTTTTTCGTCTTATTTGGAAAGATGAGGCACCATCATTCGCTGCTTCCCCCGTCGTACGCTTGATCACGTACTCATGCTTTGGATTGACATACATACACTCATACATACGTCTATACACACACACACACACGCACGCACGCACCCACCCACCCACCTACACCCACACACACACCCACCCACCTACACCCACACACACACACACAGACAGACAGACAGACATCGCCTCCTGCTACATTTTGCTTTCCTGAAATGTTTTTTTTTCCCAGGAATTAGTCTTAAAGTTGAAGAATTTTTTTTTCAAATTTTATTCAAAAGCCTTATCTCCATTGTTTTTTGTGAAGCTATGCAACGTGTCCTATGTTTCCCGCCACTAATAGTTCTATGTCCTATAAAGTGTCAACCCGCCTTGCAAAGGTTTCATGGCTCGGCTTGTTATCTTGGACTTTCCTAGACAGCTGTCTTAAACGTTCTTTTCGCTCTTAAATGTAATGTTTGAATTTTCTGTCCAGTGAATTTTATCATATCTAGACACAAAAGCATTTCTAAGTTAGTTTATGAAACGCAGTGTAGTCTTTCCTTGATATTGCTGACAACGTGCTACATTTAAGCTACCATGTCGTTCTTCAAACGTAAGTCAATTGTAGAACGAGATATGAGACACTGTTTAAGAGTTATTTGATTTATTAAAAGAGAAATAAAGTAATTTGTTGTTAACAATGTTATAATTTAATTCGGTATACACATTTGGTTTAGGTCAGGAGGAAGGAATTTGAGTGAGTGCAGTGAGGCAGAATGGGAGGAGACAAAGAGGGCAAGAGTAAGGAGTATTATATGTGTTAAGGGTTAATTTGTGGATGATAACTGTTAAATATTGAGTATGGGTGTAAGCTGTAATGTAGAGATAGTCAGTGTGTAGCATGACTAAGTAAGGACTGTTTTCTGATGGACTTTGGAGGTAATTGAGATAGTGTAGTTAGTCATGGTAGACCATGGCCTAAGTAATGACTGGTTTTTGAGGGATTTTGGAGATAAGTGGTTATTTAACTGTAGTCAGGGTATATAGCATATAGCATGGCTATAGTAAGTATTGGTTCCTAAAAGAGTTTAGCTGTAAAGGTAATGTGGAGGTCGCTAGGGTATAGCATGGCTTAATTTGGGACTGGTTCCTGTTGGAGTTTTGAGGTAAGTAGGTATGTAGAGCTAGTCAGGGTAAAGCATTGCTAAGTTGGGACTTGTTCCTGTAATTGAAACTCAAACAAGTGCACAGTTGTTAAGGGAGAGTGATAGAGTCTTTGTTGGAAATAAGGGAAGAGGTGAGAGTTTTCAAAAAAAAAAATTAGCTCATCGAAATGCTATATGCATGATGAAGAAATGGTGTGGGACTTCCTGGACTCAATGTGACGTCAATGTGAATGTCGCGACGTCAATTTTGAAGGATGAAACCAGAAACACCAAATACGTTTTTCTGATTTGGATTGACATCCCTAACACAGTCCTATTATATCAAAAGTAACTTTAAAATCATCTTTAGCAGATGCGAGGAATTACAGAATAGATATATAATGTAACAAATTTAACTACAACTTGTTCCTATAAGGGATTGATTATTCGAGTTCAAGTTTTAAAAAGAAAAAAATTGCATCACTCATAAAAAATTTATTGCAAGAAATTTTTTAAAATAAATCTCCTTTAACACCACTTACGTTTATGATTTATTACCAGAAATCTCGGTCGAATTTCAGCTAATACAAGTTTTCTTGGAAATTCTCAGATCCAAGGAATTAACTGGTATACTCATATTTTTCAAATAAAGAGTGTCATAGATAGTCACTATATAAAAATACAATTAACAGAAAAGGAACGTTAATCTTTTAAAAGACATTAGAAATGAACTTGGCGTCTCTTTTCTTTTTTTGCATTTGCTCTGAGCTAAATGTACACGTGTATGGGTGTGTGTATTTCGCTTCCCAAACACTCTAAACTCAAAATACTCTACAGTGACACAGTCAATACAGTGTTTGCACTTCTTTGTCTAAGACAAGAAATGATCTGAGAAAGAAAGATATTTATTACAGGGCATTGTCTTAACAAGGAACTATTAAAATTTGAAGTCTTCAGGGCACCTCGCCACTTTGCGAAGTATGGAAGGAATAAAATACAATTTTAATTTTGAGGTTAGACAAATATTTTTATGATTTAATTGATTATCTAAAAATAATTTGTGTGTGTGTGAATGGGCTGACTTTTTGTGAGTACCTAACACAAAATATGAAATTTAATTTTTATGGTTTTCCTTTGTATATATAAATATATATAAATATATATATATAAATATATATAAATATATATATATATAAATATATATAAATATATATATATATATATATATATATATATATATATATATATATTAATGACGTTTTAAATTGTATATTTTCTCTTTAGTGCTGCCAAGTTTAAACTAATTATTAATGTTCAAACATTTTCCACAGTGAGGTTTATTTTTCTATTAATGTGTTTCTTCCACCCTACTAAAAGTTTCAGGAACACATTTACCAAAAGATTTCACAAATCCTTCGTAATTACCAACATCTCACTACTGGTTACACATATCCCATTATTACAGTAAAAGGATGAAATTGTATACCTTTGTGTGTACACTTTCAATTCATTAGAGCATATGCGGTTCTAGGAGCCATAGTTTGATTCACGTTGATCGGGGTGTTGAAACAAGGTTGTGTTAATCCATTTAAAATAAAAGGGAAATTACATATTTTTTTTAAAAATTATAAGGAGATATTTTCGTATCTGCATAGGAGTGTATTTATTTGCTTCTTTGCTAAAAAAAAATGAAGCCCCTTAGGCTTAATGCCCGCACCTTTGGAAAGGTTGCAGGTGGACACTGCAACAATTACCTGTACCCAAAGAGCTGTAAATTAAAAAAAAGAGAAACAAATGAAAAAAAAAAATGCAGATAAGATTTTATATTTTGGCGCTCCGAGACAAGCTTGAGTTGAACGCTGAATTCGCATGGACGGCAATTAATATGCTGGCATCTCCAATAATTTTGTCCTTATCTTCAGCCAACGGTGGGCTTCTTGAAATAGTTCAAAATATTTTTGTTTTAAATAAAAGACGTTCAGTTCTTATCGTTTAATAACGTAGAAGTGATTATAATTGAAATAATTATGGCGACAACCAAATCTTATCTCTTAATTTTTTAAAGGGCGAAATTTGTTGCATTAAACCTGAACTTTTATTGTTTTATTTACACCTATTGTTTGTGTCTAATTAATCTACATTAAAAGACTATTACGCATGGAGAAAGAATGCAATTGTTTTTGTTGGGTTTGAGAGGTGAGCAGGTTGTTTTAAACATTAAGTAGGATCGATTTTGTCGGTACATTTTCATTATGGATTTTGCTATACGTTTTAGAGCTACCAAATATTTTTGATGATCCACAATCACATAAAAGATCGCATCAAAACTAATATATATATATATATCACATATATATATTAAATTTAAATGCGTATTTGATTTAGTATGACATAAACTTGATGTAATTTCTTAGACCGAAGATAATTATTTATATATATAAGTTAAGGATTACAAAAATTTTTAATTGTTTCAAAAATGTTTGCATAAATGGTAGAGATTGTTGAAAGCTGAAATTGTTCCATGAATTTCCTGTATGGTATATGATGAAATTGTGTCTTCCTTTAAAAAAAAATAATTAAGTCTAATTTTCGGGTGTTCGGATGTTCGGGTAGGGTCGTTTATGTGAAAGCCTATACAAGACTACAAACAGAAATAAGTAATGGCATTTGCAAGGCATATTATCTACTCCATAGAAATTTGGGAGAGAAGTTTAATCTTTGCTTTAACTCGTTCACTGACCCTCACTTTCCTGTCTATCTCTCTGAACTGTTGCTTCCTTACATCCCCACAAGACAACTACGTTCTTCCATTGACAGTAGAACCCTCTCAATCCCAAGAACTAAAACTAAGAAAACTCATCTGTTTAGGTCCGCCTATGACCTGTGATGCACCCTCCTTGCCCTACCTAATTTTCTGTTTCGGTTTAATCCTGAAGTGTCAAAGTGTCCTCTTTTTATAGCCATTTTCATTGTTTCTATATAATAGTAGTTACTATCCTAGTGTCTCATTTGTATTTACTTAGTTTACTTGTTTTAATAATTGTAAAGCGCTTAGAGCTTTATGATAAGCGCTATATAAAAAATGCCTAAATAAATAAATAAATAAGTTTTAAAAAAAATAAATTGAAATAAAAATTAAATAAAAGTTCAAATTAAGGATATATTGGTCAGCAGAAGTCAGGACGAAGATGGGGGTTGGGGGAGGGGAACGGAATAGAAAGCAAGATTCGGCGAAGAGTTGAGTTTGTAGTGGATGAAGTAGAAGAGTTGAGTTTGTAGTGGATGAAGTAGAAGAGTTGAGTTTGTAGTCGATGTAGAAGAAGAGTTGAGTTTGTAGTGGATGAAGTAGAAGAGTTGAGTTTGTAGTCGATGTAGAAGAAGAGTTGAGTTTGTAGTGGATGAAGTAGAAGAGTTGAGTTTGTAGTGGATGTAGAAGAAGAGTTGAGTTTGTAGTGGATGAAGTAGAAGAGTTGAGTTTGTAGTCGATGTAGAAGAAGAGTTGAGTTTGTAGTGGATGATGTAGTGGATGAAGTAGAAGAGTTGAGTTTGTAGTGGATGTAGAAGAAGAGTTGAGTTTGTAGTGGATGAAGTAGAAGAGTTGAGTTTGTAGTCGATGTAGAAGAAGAGTTGAGTTTGTAGTGGATGTAGAAGAAGAGTTGAGTTTGTAGTGGATGAAGTAGAAGAGTTGAGTTTGTAGTGGATGTAGAAGAAGAGTTGAGTTTGTAGTCGATGTAGAAGAAGAGTTGAGTTTGTAGTGGATGAAGTAGAAGAGTTGAGTTTGTAGGGGATGTAGAAGAAGAGTTGAGTTTGTAGTGGATGAAGTAGAAGAGTTGAGTTTGTAGTCGATGTAGAAGAAGAGTTGAGTTTGTAGTGGATGAAGTAGAAGAGTTGAGTTTGTAGTCGATGTAGAAGAAGAGTTGAGTTTGTAGTGGATGAAGTAGAAGAGTTGAGTTTGTAGTGGATGTAGAAGAAGAGTTGAGTTTGTAGTGGATGAAGTAGAAGAGTTGAGTTTGTAGTCGATGTAGAAGAAGAGTTGAGTTTGTAGTGGATGAAGTAGAAGAGTTGAGTTTGTAGTCGATGTAGAAGAAGAGTTGAGTTTGTAGTGGATGAAGTAGAAGAGTTGAGTTTGTAGTCGATGTAGAAGAAGAGTTGAGTTTGTAGTGGATGAAGTAGAAGAGTTGAGTTTGTAGTCGATGTAGAAGAAGAGTTGAGTTTGTAGTGGATGAAGTAGAAGAGTTGAGTTTGTAGTCGATGTAGAAGAAGAGTTGAGTTTGTAGTGGATGAAGTAGAAGAGTTGAGTTTGTAGTCGATGTAGAAGAAGAGTTGAGTTTGTAGTGGATGAAGTAGAAGAGCTGAGTTTGTAGTCGATGTAGAAGAAGAGTTGAGTTTGTAGTGGATGAAGTAGAAGAGTTGAGTTTGTAGTCGATGTAGAAGAAGAGTTGAGTTTGTAGTGGATGAAGTAGAAGAGTTGAGTTTGTAGTCGATGTAGAAGAAGAGTTGAGTTTGTAGTGGATGAAGTAGAAGAGCTGAGTTTGTAGTCGATGTAGAAGAAGAGTTGAGTTTGTAGTGGATGAAGTAGAAGAGTTGAGTTTGTAGTGGATGAAGTAGAAGAGTTGAGTTTGTAGTGGATGAAGTAGAAGAGTTGAGTTTGTAGTGGATGAAGTAGAAGAGTTCAGCTTGTAGGGGATGAAGTAGAAGAGCTGAGTTTCTAATGGATGTGGTAGAAGATTTTGATATTTAGGGAGAGAGAATAAGCGATTTTGTTGAGAATTTTTATGAGAGAATATAGTGGTATGAATGGATCGATCATCATTGATCCAAAACAAAAAATGGAAGAATTTAAAATTGTAGTACAATTGTAGCGCCTCATTTTGTCCAATGTTATATGGGTGTTTCATTCAAGTTAGTTTATTCAATAATTTGTGCATTTTCAAAATTTATTTTTTCAGGTTTATTTATGAAGCCCCGGGAAAAGTATGCTGAAGAAAAAGATGATCCCAACAATTGCAGCGATTCAACGTTAAATTACCTGCTCATAGGGAAAGCTGGCAATGGGAAGAGTTCCTCCGGAAATTCTTTGGTAGGGGAAACAGTTTTTAAATCTTTTGATGCATCAACAGCGGGAACTAAATTTGTATATAGTTATAAAACCAAACGATTTGGAAAAGAGATGTGTGTTGTTGACACACCTGGGTTACACGACACCGAACTTCAGGCAGCTATTGAAAACGCTAGATTTGCAAGGAAATATATGACGAAAGCTTTTAAGGTTTGCCCTGAAGGCTTCCATGCAATGCTGATCGTTTTAAACATCACCAACAAGTATACCGCCGAGGACAATAATGTGATTGAGTTACTGACAGATATTTTCGGAGAGGTTATGTTTGATTACACCATTCTAATCTTTACTCGTGGAGACAACTTTGATAATGAACATCATTTGTGTGATGCCGACAGGAGTCAAGAATTTTTTAAGTATTGGTGTAAACAACAAGCAGATGATCTTGGAGAATTACTAAAGAAATGTCAGTACAGGGCTGTGTTGTTTCACAACACAGACACATATGAATTACAAAGAGATGTGGAGTTACTTGCTTTAGATATTGAAATGAAAAAAATATCAGGTAAAAGAGGTCTATATACAGAAAGAACTTTCCAATTGAATGAACACAGAAGAATACATTTGATATTAAATAAATATCAACCTGAACTTGAGAAAGAAATTGATGAAAAACTGCTAACTCTGAAGAAAGAACTTCAGCTCATTAAATCAGATGGTGCGAAAATTACAGAAAAGGCTATAGAAGCTTTAGAAGCTATAAATAATCATGACTCTAAGTATCCTACTCTAGATACCGTGAAGGAGGCTATAGAAATTCTAAAAAATAATTTTGGGCTTGAAAAAACAAATCAAGAAAAGTTTCACCTAACTACAAAGGTTCAGGAAATAATTGATGGTCCAGTTTTACTTGAGCTAAGGTCATTGAGTGATGTCATTGACAACATCAGAAATCCTGAAAAACACAAAGAGGAACTGAAAAACAAAGCGCGGGCGCTTTCTCGGTACATAGAAGAGGAAGCCCTTGGAACTGATTGGCTCGATAATTGGATACAAAAAGTTAAAATGCTTCTACTTGAAATAGATGATTTAGATACCAAGGGAACCGGGACACTAATAGAATATAGATAACCTGAAGAATTATTGTTTGGTCCCTCGATGCCCGGAACCCGTAAGCACGATGCGTGTATGACTGTATGTAGGACTACTGACTAAAGGCTGGCAGGAAGGGTGTAGGGATGTTTGTATGCCTATTGTTTAAAGGACGGCAAATTTAACAGACAATGAGAAGATAACTGTTTTTTGTGTGGAAACAATTAGACCCAAAAGGAACTTCTCAAAAAAAAAAAAAAAATCCGGACCAGCTTAAGCCCTATAATAGCAAATGTCGAGGATGTGTTCAGCATGGTTTGGTTGTGTCTTTACGAAGATGTGTGCATTTTGGTGTACGTTCAAATTAAAAGGGAAAAAAAAAAGAATAGCTTGCCCGTGAATGCAGCCCAAATTCGACAATTTGTGTTGGTTCCAATATCATGTTAGTTTGTTTTTTTAAACTATTGTATTACGTAAGAAATGACTAGCTGATGAATTCTATTTTATTTGTCTTTTTTTGAAATTTCTGCCTTTCTTGCCCTTTACTTAGTTCCTGTTTTTTTTGATGCCCCTTTTATTATTGTAACACTTTAATTTGCCTCCGAAACTATTTTAAAATTAACTATAATAAACAAAATTTCATTGATGAAGTAATAAATATGATGCAACTGATTTCACAAAATAAAAATTCCCGATAGCTGCGCTAAAGAAAATTATCAGACAAAAATGATCGCAAGTGCGTTTGGCGCGCAATATTTTCTTTTGTTTTCTGAAATAGATGGTGAAATAAATCTGCGGTGTAAAAATAGGTGGGTAATTTATATACATGGGCGCCCGCAGAAAATTTTCTAGGGGGGGGGGGCAAAAATTTTTTAGTAATGTTTTCATGTAGTTTTAATTTACTGTAGCGTATTTTTATGGTGAACGAACGGACAGGACATCAGCTTAGTTACTTTCTCTTTATTTTCTCTTTTCTTTAATAAATTTTTTGTCTATTTTTGTCTTAAAATTTTTTATCCAATCAATCCAGGGGTGGGGGCAAGTGCCCCCCTTCCCCCCTACGGGCGCCCAATGTTTGGATATTAATATATAATGTATCAGAATGACCTAGGCTGACCGTAACGTTTTATTCGTTCGGATTCTCAAAAAGAATTATATTTAATTTAACTTACTGTACAGAAATAAAAAAATTTCAAAAGCGCAAAAAATAAAAAAAAATATATCCACTTTTATTTTAGTAAATGTTTAAGTAATATTATTATAAATAAAAATGCATTTAAAATAAATATAAAGGAACTATTTTAAGCATTATTCGAGTTTGAAAGTTAGGAAAACATTTCTAATATAAACATTATTTTAAAAAAATTACACAGTAATCATATTTATTGAGAAAATCCAAGAATGTGTTGTTTTTAGTGCGCTGTTAATCTGTCGGAATGAAATTATTATTAACTTGTTCTCAATAAAAAAGAAAATGATGTCATACCGTAAATGGCCTATTTGAATAAAAACTCTAAGTTTCTTTGATTCAATAGCTTAGCATGACTAAACTGATAGTGTAACCCTACTTAAAATTAATAAATATAATTGATTGCTTTATAAAATTATTGATTGAACACAAAAAAGTTAATCTTTGTGTTTTTGACATTTAATAAGTTTTTTTCTTTCCAAATTATTCTTTTAGTAACTTTATAACGTAATAAAAACGTAACCTTTACATAAACATTTAATAAGGAAATGCCGTTTAAGTCAATCAGCGCGGGGAGTCGATATTTAATTTTTTCCCAGGAAGCACAAGATACACTTGTGAATAAATGAATGGACTTGATAAAGGATTAATCTTCTTAGATTCATACATATCGGGGGTAGGAATTAGGGTGTGTATATTTTTATGAGGATGGCAATAAAATTAAATCATATGGTACTACATTTGTAAAAAAAGAGCTGTCGTCTTCTCTTTTTTAATACAAATTAACATATATTTAACAATGAAGAAAATTAATGGCGTTGGCACAATGTAAGTACACTTACATAAGTACATCTATGAATATCAAAACCCAATCATTTTACACACGTGAAAATTTGGTTTTAAAAATTGATTTGGCTTAAGATGTTTTTTATAAATGAAACTATATTTTTGTTTTTACTTTGAGAAAAACAAAGTGGGTGTATATTCTTTTGAGTTTAATAAACATTTCTGTAAAAAAAGGTCACCAAGGCTCTTACAGACGTGAAAAACGTTTAAGAGATTATTCTTTAGATAAAAGACTTGTTTGTTTTACGATTTTCCGATAGAATAGTAGAAAACAAAAGCCAAGGTTTGGTCAAAATTTCAATGAAGAAATAAGTATTATATCAGATTCTGTTAATATAAAATTAATTTCAAAATGTTATATAAAGTTTTTGTTGTCGAATTGAGAATATATTTTCCCAATGTTTAGAAAAAAATAAAATGTAATTCAGGGACACCAAAAGAGGTATGGTAGGCCCAACATTTAACCATTTTAAAAACATATTATATTTAAACTATTTCTCTTGCGTAGAAATCAGCCGTCAATAAACTCCATTAGTTATAATCACGATTTGGGAATTTAGATAGAAAAAATAAGTATTGTTTAGGGTGCGAAAAGGGGAATGGAAGGCGTATACTATATAGTAGAAAAGTACCTCTTAAAACTTTTAATGATGTTAAAAATTGAAACATCACTACAAAGATACTTCTTTTTCAAATAAGAAATGTTGATTGTTTCGTAATAGCAGGTAGAAATAATCGCAAAGTGTAAGCCATTATGATCTCGATAGCATCGGGTCATATTTTGTAGTAAAATAAAAAAAAAATTGTGCAATTAAAGAATTTGTACAAAAAACTTTGATTTTAGGTTGTTTTATGTTTTTATGGCGCTATTACCTATAATGTAATGAGTACTCTGAAAATGACACGCCTCAATTTATAGATGAAGTGTCAACCAGGGTAAACAGTAAAAAGATGTTGTTGTTTTTTTTTGACACGCCTTGTCTTTTTGATGCACATTGGATTTTATCACTTTTTTTCAAAAATAAAAGTCCGTCATGTCTCTACAAATGAACTGCTGATTTTACTATAAGTGCGATCGTGACCTGTAGTAACACACCAAGCCGGGTGTATTTTGAGAAGAAGTTTGTCCAGAATCATGGAGTCTTGACGGGTGCGAAATAAATTTTAGTTCTAACCCTAACTAAGGCCACGCCCTTTGGAGATAACCTGAAGAAACACGGGTCGCACTAAACCTGGCCAAGCTACTGGTTTTACACATATCATTTTATGGTATATTCTAAATTCTTGGAACATTTGTTTAGATTTAAACTATTGTTGGATATTTTAAAATATCCTATTAGCATCAACGGTTTGGAAAAGAAATACTTCCTGGTCAATCCAACTGAAAAAATATAAATAAATAAACAGTACATTTCTTTTCTGTAGGGGTCGAAGCCGAAGCTTGTAAATGCCCAGTAAATTTAATGGACTTAGAGCAGTGTGGCATGGATTGAACAAAACAACAACTCTATTTGTTGAAGCTACAATTAATCTTGAGCGAAATCAATAAACTATTTATCCAGAGAAAAGTGAAAAGAAAGGTAAAATTCATGGGAAAGTTTTACGTTTAATTTAATGATGTACTTCTCATGGGATCTTTAAAAGGACGAAGAACCAAAACAAAACTATGTCACAAAATAGATGGAAAAACACAATGGCAACTTTCCGAAGATTGGCGTCTGAACCACAAATAATTGCCTCAGTCTTGTCATCATTTAATTTTAGTCTGTTTGATGACATTCAATCTTTCACAGCAAGACACCAGTCCTCGACAGCCTGAACAGCAGTAGCAAACTCCAAGGGATCAGGGCGGAAACAATTGTACAGTTCTGTGTCATCTGCAAATATTTTGCGAGAAATACCATGACTTTTCAAAATTTTGCCGATCTGGCTAGTGTACATGGGGAACAGAATAAGTCCTAAAACTAAGCCCCGTGGCACACCACAGGTAACGGAAGTGTCCATGGAAGATGCCTGCCTCACCACAATACGCTGAATCCTGTCAGTCAGATAAGAAAAAAAAAAACATCGAAGTGCAGTTCCAGTAATGCCTGTCACATTCAGAAGTCTTGACAGAAGAAGCTCATGGTTGAACACATCTATGGCAACACTGAGATCCAACAGAACCAAGACTGTCAGATCGTCACGATTAGCACGACAATGAACGTCATTCATACCAATCCGTATTCCCCTGATTTTTTAACTATAATTATCAAGCTGAACTGGTGTCATTATATATTGAACTGATCAATTGACAATGTGTTTAAAATAAGGATCAAATCAGTCAATAATTGTATTTTTTTGGAGACATTTTTTTTAAAATTACGTTGACTGGTGAATGCCTTTTAATCCCTTGTAATTTTTATCAAAGGAAATTATACGTTTAAGATAAACAAAATGTTGCTACAGTATTTTGTTTTCTCGATGAAAATGCAGGGATCTTTCCTTATATACTTATGCTATGTAATTTTTAAAAGAAGTCATAAGGGCCTGGTTATTTGGGTACTAAGTAAGGCAGTGACAAGGAATCGATTTGAACCAAAACGTTTTTTTTTAAGGCACACTTCACCTTCAGCTAATTGGATTAAACGCACATTTTTTTTCCAAACCCTTACTAATTAATTCTGGCATAGAAAATATGGCAATAGAAGTGTTTAGAAGGAATGCTAATTTAAAAGTGAGTTAAAATTTAGCTAGTTTGATTTTAAATTAAAACGTGATTAAACTTAGTAAAAAAGTAAACGCTAGACAGTGTAATCTTGACTTTGCCTAGGTTAAAGAATGTTTAGATATAACAAAAGTACAAGATCTAATTGTTAAGGAAAAAACACTATCACAAATATTTGAGTGAAACTTTCACATTTTTAACACTCTTTACTTCTATTTCTATATTTCTGACCTGCATAATTAAAGACAATAATGTATTAGAATGTATCATGCCCTAATAAAATTATACAGACGTTTGGAAGATGCTTTTAATATTTATAAAATGGAGACTATGTTTAAGTCATTGAAAGGAAAATTAAGTAAGTACATAATATAAGAAATTAAAAATTACAAAAAACCTGACATTTTCAGCTGAATGCCTTCTTTCAGCTAACAAACCTTGAACTTTAAATACAATCAGAACTGAATCACATTAGTCAGAGAATGTAAACAATTTTGATGTTTTGATAACAACTTTCATACAATGAATAACATAAGACACATCCAATTTTGCAACTAATGCGGACATAATCTGTCTTTTTTTCATTGTTGTATTATGACACAATCTATTTGTGACTTAACTTAAGATATGTACATAAAGATAGTTTTGAAATA